GAAAAAGTATAACTATATATGTGTTAAGTGATAATTCCCCATGTTTTCTGTCTCAAAATATTATCTCATGTCTATATTAAGTGGCAGGGCTCCAGATTTTCTGTCATTTGTACCAGACTAGTGAAGTTGCTTTTCATACCTCACCTGGCCAATTTTTAGACTGGCCTACTCCTGCTCTTGTGAGTTATTTTTTGACACTTTGACACTTCAAACTTGAATTTTCTTCAGCCCCACCAGACTACTATTACCCCAGCCACAAACTGATGAAGACTGGAAGACACGTAACTTTTTCTGAACTTGAGTATCTGCATTGACTTCTAGATGTGAAGCTCCTCATAGGTATAAAAATAAGCATGCATAAAAGTGTTTGCAGACTTGAGGTCTTAACTTCCTTCCCTGTTATAGATATGGATCCTCAATTTTCCATGGCAACAGAGTTCCCACAAAACCCTAGAGTCAGCTGGATCATACTGGACTATCTTTAGCATAGAGTTTCTTCAGAGCACCTGTTTGGCTGCTGTACCTAGTATTGGGTACAGTAACTAACTAATTCTGTATGTGCTATGTAGTCTTTCATTCCAGCCAAGTAACAAGAATAAGGGAAGGAAAAAAAAAAAAAAAGTTTTTGATTCAGTAAGGAAATAGCAGAAAGGTGTAAGTTTTAGCAATTTGAAATTGCTCAAATTTCAATGAAAATAAGCAAGGGAGAACATGCATTAGAACTATGCAGAAGGAGCATGTCCCAAATATTTTCTCCAGTGAACAAAAAAAAGGAAGCCAGCAAGAAATATATCATTTCAATGTACATTAGTTTCCACTTAAGAGTATTATTATTAGTGATTAAAAAACACATGATACAGGAAACTCAATTCCACAAGATGTACTGGCTCATTTAGTAATTGAGGTAAGTTCTCATGAACTTACCACCATTAATTCTTCAGTCTTTCTCACTGAGTCAGCCTAGCTTATTCTGCCCTTGTCCACTGTAAAACTCCATCTTCTCAGGCATCTCTTATTGCTCCCTTGTTGTCTGTGTCAATGAGTTTTGTTATTGAACTGTGATTTTATTTTTTTTTTTCATTTAACTTCCTTGGAAATTTCATGTAACACAGTTTCAATATATTTTCATATAACCTAGATCCTAGATTGCAGTGATGGAAAAAGGTTCTTTGAAGAATTAGGATTAACGGTCTTCAATTTTTTCTTCCATAAAATGTTTCTCCATTTGAATCCTTGATTTCACTTAAGATTCACCATCCTCCCATTTGTTTCTCTTTCGCAAAAACTTGGCTGTTTTCTTAGAGAGTATTGTGGTGAAAGAGGCAGGAATTTCTTCTGTTGCATTTGCAGGTACCAAGTTGCAAAATTTCTTCTCTGTAGTTTTGATTTCAAGAGTTAAGTATTAAATTTGGATCCCATAAGTGTTGCCTTAGAGTTTTTCCAAATGTTCTAGCTTACTACAAGCATTTGAATGTTGTACAATTTGTAGAATAAAATAAGTAGAACATTTATCTAAAATTTTCTAAATGCCAAACTTTTGGTGTATATGGTGGTGGGCTTCATACTTCTCGTAGTAATAGATGTATTCTACAACATAAAGTGTACGTACACACAACTAATGCTAAATGTACAATTCTCTTGACCATGGGCAGCAATAATAGTATGTTAACCTGGATTAAAGACTTCCTTAGTTCTGGTGTAGTTCAATGATGAAAGCTGCCATGGCAGCAGTTTCCACATTTTCAGCTGGTGAGGACTCTTGCTGATAGCCAGTAAGACAGGTGCTCCATGATTTCTTTAGAAAATGTTGAAATGACATGTGAAGGACAGTGTTTAGGGCATCTTCATTTAGACCCAGTGGTAATTATGTTACTTGCTACTGTACGTGAGGAATGTGAGTGGTCTTTACCATGAAAAGCTTGGTTTCTGGTTCTTCCTGATCGCTCTAGTTGCTGCTCTACAGTGTGAAGGCTCTGAAGGCTCACCCAATAGCCCAGAGACACATTGACTTTTATGGAATAATTGCTTCAGGTGCAAAGGTGAGCATGTGGAGCACCAGTGGCTGAGACCAATAATATTACCAATAATAGTATTACTAATAATGTCTTCCTTAAGTGAAGGCTTGGACTTCCAACATGGGTAGGAAGTCACAATATGCTGCTCATAGTGTTTAATAGCCACTAACATGGATTTTTTTTCTTCCTGGCACAGGCTGCCAGGAGGTGGAGAAAAAGCATCTGGATGATGTTTAAGGTTCATATATTTGGCAGGATCAGTTCATTATAGATGCACATTTTTAGGCAAAGGTTTGAGATAGGAATTGTTTCTAGTGAACTACTACATGACTGATTGTATGGGACCATAAAAAAAGGGTTACAATGGCCATGGCGAGGGAAGCTTGGAATTTTGCCACAGTCTCGAATAGTGGCTGCATGAAGAATTTTGGCCAGAACCCCATTCCTGTGCTTTCTTTGGACCTGGCGAGTCAAAAAGTACAAAATTAATTAAAAATAATAGTAATTTTAAAAAGCATTGTTTTACTGTGTGGTAGAGCAGGTGAAGCCATTTGCCTGTTTATCTAACGAATAAACACCCATACATTTTATAGATGTAGATCCCTGTAGAGAATAATACATAAAATTAGGAAAGGAAAATTTAAATATGGGACATTTTGTTAAGCTATCAGCCGTGTACTTCACCAAAGTGTCACAAGACGTTTGGTTCTGGTAACCTGCAATACATAAAAGAGGTGAGGTGTTTCTACACAAGTCAATAAATCTGCAATGTATTGTTTAATATTCCACCTTTATGTAAACGTAGCCAGGTTTTTTTGTTGTCTTCTTCCTAATCAGTGTTAAAGTGCATTTAATAGCTCACTTAAGGTTGTCATCCATTACTATGAGTTACTGTTGGATCTAATTAATAGAGCTGAAATTATTTTGTAATGAGAATTTGAAGTATTGCAGTGTTAAAAAAAGAAGAAAAAAATTGCCATTCACAGCTAATTAATGTTTAACAATGCAAATAAGCTGATAATTATTTTTCAAGTCATAGAAAAATTCTGTGACACTTCATATACCACCTTTGTGATCCCAATTGTTTCCAAATAATGCTTTTACAGAGAAATATTTGGAAGAGATTTCCCTGGAAAAAAAGGCAGATTTTCAGCACACAAGGAATAAGAGCTGTCCTTTTGTTCACTGGGAGCCAGAATCAGCAGCTGTTTCTTACAGTAAATACTGATGGAGGGACGGAAAAAAGTGAGGGTTTGAATGTAGTTGGAAGAAGAAAATCATGTGAGATCCTGGCCAAAATTTCCTGTCTGCTCCAAGTCAGCTGCTCTTCGGTCAGTGCAGGTCTTACAAATGCAGCCCAGGTAAGCTGGGATCTCTTGGAACCATTATGATAAAGATGCTAACAGCAACGTGATGCTGTCATTATACTGAAGTAAAATGCATTTTTATCGTATACATCGTAAATCAGAAAGGAGGAATGCTGGCAGTCTGGCTGTGTAAGAGAATGTGGACCCATTTCTCATCACTGTTAACTTTGGCAAATGAAGTATGCTATTAGTCTTTTGATTTTTAACCCAATTTAATAATATTTATTGCCTATTCAGATGTCAATTTAATATCACAAAAAATTTTATATATCAAAATTTATCCTGAAAGTGTTTTTGTTTTTTTTTTGTTTTTTTTGTTTTTTTTTTGAGTCAACCAGTAATAAATACTATTTTATTTAGCAGGATTATATAATATATAATCAACTGACAAGTAAATCACGCAGACTAGCTGCTGGCATACCACTCAGCACAGGCGCATCACTTTGTACCCCTGACATTTTAAGTAGGCCCAGATTTCTCTACAGCAAGACGATGCCATTAGCTGCCAAGGGTGTGATCTACTATTACCACTTTGGGTTTTATCTACACATTAGAGTTGTCTTCTATCTTTGAGTTGTCAGACAGCATAAATCATCCTCCAATTTGCAGATGCCACTTGCTCTGTTGCAGAAGTGTCCTTCAGTGTTACTTCACTTTTCCTGCAGGTGAGGTGTTCCTTGTGGCCACACTGTCAGTAGACCACATGCCCCCACCTCATGCCTTTACTCCAGGACTGATGGCTGCTGACATAATGATCCACAAGCTGGTATCAGCACCTCTTCCTTAAAAATTGAGTTAGTTTTTTTGTGGGTTTACAGTTTATATGAAGCTTTCTGATCATGGCCCGGATGTTCTTCTGAGAGTCTTCTACAGTAATTAATGCTTGTTCTGCTGAAAGTCACTACTTCCATTTGTGCACTATCTTGCAACATTCTGCCTGGAAAACACAAATTATTTGTATATTATGTTCATTGCCACAGGGAAGGAAGAAGAACCATGGAGGTAATATTTTTTTTCACTTAATAATTTTAAGTTGAATTCATTAATTTGTGGAAGAAGGGATCTGACTGAAGACTTCTGAAAGTTTGGGGTTGGCAGAGCAGGCCTGGAGCATGGAGCAACTCTTCATTGGGCGCAACTGCACTGTAAGCTGTAAAGGAGGGAGGAAGGTCTGCAGGCCAGCAGAGGGCTGTGTTCAAATATTTCTGCCCTCGAGGAGGGTGGGTTGTGGATTTGCTGTTGTTACTTTGACTTAATAATTAAAGTATTGAAACCTGTTCTCTACAGATATTTCATACAGATTTACTCTAACGGTGTAATGACCGGTATGCCGATCATGGTCACAGATTGGGATTTTTATGGATTCTTTTGCCATCTTTGATATCTGCTAGGAGGCTCTACCTGGTTGCTTTTCACGTGCCCTGACATGTTCCACATCCTGCTACCTATGTTTTGCCTGCCCTGCTCAGGTCAGAGCAGTAACTAATGATTGCTGCAGCAGCTCTCAGGTTAAATTTGTAATTACAACTAAGCTTTTTTTTATATTAATAGGTTTTTAAGAAAGGTCATGAAATGTAACACTTCGATCAGACTTACTCCTTTCGGTTTTGCTTTTGTATTTTTTTTTTGTTGGAGTTTTTGATTTGTTGGAATTTTGGTTTTTTTTTCTTGTTTGCAATTATACTGTTTGAAAACCTTACCCATGTCTGCTGCGAAGCAATGCAGCACTTCAAAAAGGATTTTAAGGACAGTAATGTATGCAACTTACATCACTAATCAGCTATAGAATGTCAGATGGCCTAATGCACGGTTTTAATTGTAGCAGTTGATGCACTCTGGATGCTATGGAGAGCATTGATGTTTTGATTACAAAATAGAACTTCACAAGCCAAGGAGGAGCATGGAGTTGCCTTCCTGCAGCCTCTCTCACGCTCTTGTGTTCTTCCATCACGCCCGTTAACAACTACACTAGAAACAAGCAGCAGATTTTTTTCCACTCAGTGAGTAATTGTCTGCACAGCAGTGACAGATGTGCAATATAGCAGCTTCTTCAGGAAAAAATTAACAGTTTGTCCAGCATGTCAGCTTGCTCTTTTTAGTGCTTCGGAGGTCTTGGCCCCATTATGGATGATTTAGAAATTGAAGCAAGCTAAGACCAGCTGCCTGGGTTGAAAGCCTTAGTTAGTAGCCCTCATCTGCATTCCAGTATTCGCTTACATCTAGAAATTGGTAGGGCCCCTCTGGCCACAAGATGAGTATGGGCTGACAATGCCTTGATTTGTTGAGAGAGAGAATAAATGGGTTTTTCAGAAGATGAGGAAATATCACCATTACTGGCCAATTTACAGCATTTTATCTGTTCTTCAAACATGTCACTTTTGTTATTGTTGCATGGTAATTACATAGTGAAACGGAAAGAAAACAAATTCTGGTTACATATTCAGATGGATTGCAAAATCATATAATCCTGATAAATGCCCATTTATGATACACACGGATGAAAGGTTCATTTTAATTTTGAATAGCTAGCACAGCCATAAATAGGATATAGGATTAGATCCCACAGAATCCGATTACCTAAAAGCAAATAGTATTTTTCTTCACTTTTTTTCATAACCAGGAAATTCAGTGTGTGCAGGGTATTTAAATAAGCAGGCTTTCCATAAAAGAATATGAAGCAAATATAATTCAATAGTTTCTATATTTTAAATATAATCATTTAGGACTATTCAGCTAAGTCTTTTCTGAAACACTCATTTGTAAATAGACATCAACCCATCAATATTGCTGAAAAAAATATCACACAGATATGGCCTTTAAAAGATATACATTCGTAGCAAATAGAAGAAGCTCTGCTAGTTGGAAATGTAGTCCAACAATAACAGCAGATAGTATTACTTATATATTATAATTGCAACTGTTCTTAACACCTTTCAAGAATGTTTTAAGGCAAATATTGCATTAGCTGAGAAGCAAATGATGATACCATCCCAGGTAACTGCAATTCCGGCAGCAGCTTTCATGCCAGAAGCATTCTGTGAAATTCTGGAAGCTCCATTTCCTTTAGTGGAAGGCACTGGAAGAGACATGTATGACAACACAGGTGTATAGCAGCAGAAGGCAGATGATTCCTGTATAGAGATGAAGGAAAAAAAAAAAAAAAAAAAGCCTGCTTTGTGCATAAAGCCATCTCCTTCACAATCCTTGGCATCCAAATTATCTTCCCAAGACCTTAAGGGTGAGTTGGCCGTTGCATTAAAAAGAGCAGGGATGGTAGAGAGGTAAGCATGCTCAGCCCCCTCATCACCCTTCCCAAGAGGGGACAAGACACCTCAGTCTCAAGGGAAGTTGAGCATGGAGGATTCATGACACATCCAGGTCTGCATCCAAGGCACTGAGCAAGCACAGTGACAGAGATGGCCACCTACATGAGCTGTCAAGCTTCTGTGAAAGCTTCCATGGGAAAATACATTTAGTACATCCACTGCATACATTCAAGGTGGTGCTATACTGTTCTTGGGCAGACTCTGTGTTGGACACTATGTTCTGGAATGGAGAGTTAAGATGACTAATCAAAATTCTCTCACCAAGGAGTAAAATTAGGCTCTTACTAAACATTCACATGCAGTGAAGTCTTGCCTGACTTTGCTGTTTTATTCAATTGCATCAAAACCATGAGTAGGTACCAGCAGCCAGCCTTGATTGGATCTGCTTTCAGGTGATTGAACTGTATCTGCCTGCATTTATCCACCATGTTGTCTTTTAAAGAATTTGCAGTTTTGGGTCAGTTATTACAGTTCAGGTTATGGCTACAATAAGCTTGATGTTATTGCAGGAAAATATAACCTAAAAGACTGGTATCGTTCTCTTCCTCAATCCTACACTGTACCTTAGTTTTACCTTTTTTTTTTTTTTTTCCTTTGGAAGTCCTGAATACATACAGCTATTAGCAAGATCAGTGGAAGATTTCACAATGCAACTTCATAGCTAGTTGGACTTACTGGTGGCAGAGAGAGAGGGAATAGGTAGAAAAGGCAAACTGGGGGATCGTAACAGGGTCTCTCCTGCCTGGGCCTTTGGAGAACAGACTGTCAGCATCAGTTCCCTGGGAATGGTGACCAGTGCACTGCATAGTGACTGAAGGCAGGGCTTGGGGTGGAAGAGTCCTGGTTCAGGGTTTCAGAAGAAATCAATTGACCCGACCTGAATTACGTTCTTTTGTGTTTCTAAAGAAGGTCTATTGGGGATGAGTCTGAAATGTGCTTTCCATGGTATTGTCTCTTCCATAGTTCTCTGCTCATAACTGAGCTTTGTTATCAGTTTAACGTTGATTAACTTGTTTTTCCAGAAAAGATTTTTCATGTGCTGAAGGGTAAAGTAACAGAAAATTTGCAGAATGGCCACAAGAATCATACATATCCTGGGAGACATATCTGTTAGAGAAATTACTGGATGAAGATATTCACACACAGTAAGTATATCTGCCACGGTTTTGTATGCTCTGTTTTATCTTGGAGCATTAACAGCATTTTGATTTTTGATAACTTACCTGTCAAATCCCTTATGAGGAATGTGATATAGTGTCCCTCCTCAGCAGACTTCTCAGTGTGACTCAGCAATAAAACTGTTGTCCCAGGTGTTGCCTTGAAATTATTTGGGAGATTTTCCAGTAATGAACTTGAAGTGTTTTCTGATGAAATGTGTGTCTGCATGCCAAGAAAGCAGCACTTCAATTCGAATAACATTTGGAAGGGTTTTTAATTTTGGTTTATCAGTATGTTGATACATGGACACTTGGAAAAAGACTAGTATATAACAGAAATTATTTCAGCTTCTGTGAATCATTGCTTTGCTTTTCCTCTCCCTTTCAGACTGAAGATTTCCTGCTGCTTCACGTAAACAGTGTTGAGTTAGCAATGTGCTACTCTAGCCTGATTTTAAAGAAACACCCAAAGGGGCTGTTGAAATCTGGATACTTGTTGATAACCTTTAAAAAGATAGTAGTTATGTCATGAGAGAAGTTATGAAGAAGTCCTTTAACTATTATGATCATCCTGATTATTTTACTGGCAGGGAACTTTCCATAACATGCAGCTATTGGGTAGGATTGCTTCCAAAATGCACTTCTATTTGACCATAGGTCCTGGAATGTCAGCCTGTATGTGTGCAGGAGCTACCAGAGCATCTCCCCTTGGTCTCTGACAGTGCACGTGTGCTATGTTGCAGCTGCCTTAAAAGCCCTCATTTATTGTTCTAGATATACCCATCATCAAGGATAGTGGGTAGGAGTAGCCCAGGAGAGCAAAGAGGGAAGCTGCAGCAAGGTCTAATAAGGCTGAAATCGTAGCAGGGATGTGGATGTACTTCAGATATAATTAGGATGAAGTGCAGTTATCTCAAGGGTCCTTAAAATCACTTGTTGGTTAACAGAAAATACTTTTACACTGAGAACTGGGAACTGGCATAAGGTCACTTAAGCAGACCTCAGCAACAGGAACTGAAACTATGCTGTCCTCATGTGAATAACCAAGAAGGCAGCAGGCAGCTCCCCCACCAATTCCAGCCCCAGAAAAGGGACAGGGCTGTCAGGAAGCTTAGTCTCTGTGACTCAGTTCTTCCGGAGATTGTTCCTCAGCTTTAGTTGTCTGCATATCCCTTTGTGTCCTGTTTTTTGTGACAGTTTCAAGTTGCCATTAATTAATTAACATTAATTAAGTTGATATAACGTTAACTAATTAACATTAGTTTGGCCCAAAAACAAGAGCAGAGAATAGTTTTAGGTCAGTCTTGGTTACCACTCTACTCTTGATACTTTTCTTTATGTTTGCTGGCATCCAGTTGCTTAGAAATGGCAGGTGCCTTTGTGGAAGTGAATGGAGACAGGAGCATGGTAGTCTGAAGTAGTTGGACACACTGATCCTAGAAGAAAGCTCAACCAATTCAATTACTGATCTAGAAGTTGCTACTCATTTTGTTTCTAGCTTGTGTCTTCAGTTTGCAAATCCATTCAGCATGTCCAGAGTTATTTTATTTATGGGGTTAGTGAATATGGCAGTGTTAAGGCAAAGCCATTTCCACGGACTATGTGGCTAGTCCAGGACATAATATCTACATAGGTTGCCCTGGATATAATGCATCCTCTTCATTTCCATGGAAACTGCAATAGATACAAAGAGCACAGTAACATTATTTGATTATTTGAACATGATTTGAGCAAATTCTTAGCTACAAAGCACTATATTTCAATATAGTCAGCACCATTAGCTGCTCATCTTTGCCAGCAAAGAACAAGAGCCTGCATGCCATGCTCGTAAACCTCTGAATAAGCAGAGGTTACCCCCTGTCACTGCTGCTGAGACACACCACCCACCTCTTCACTGCGCTGATGTCTGCTGTTGAGTCTCCACAGATGTTCAGCAAGTATCAATGAATGTCAATGGGTGCCATTTTTTCCATGTGGAGGAGTTCAATGACATGCCTTTGCTTCATACAAATTTCTATGTCAGGCACCATTCTGTCAGAGTGCCCCTCTGCTGCCATCTGTCACATGGCAACAAAATGTAATAGGATGTTGGTGAAAGGTTCAACCTACTGCCATACCACCAACATCTGTCTCTGATGCTGTGGGCTGGCATCATAAAACAGAAGGCACTTCTTTTGGTGAAACCCTAAGATACAGGACAAACCAAAAGAAAAACAATCTTGTTACAGGACATTCATATCCCAAACCCTGTGTACTGATTGGCACAAATTGGTGGCAAACACCAAACCACTCTCCTGGGCTTTGTAGACTGGTGTGAGGATTTCCATCCCCGTTGCTGTGTGCCCTGGGGGCTGGAGCTCCTCTTCCCGTAGATGACAGATCACAGCAAAACAGAATAAAAGCAATCGCTATTTTTCACTCTGTCCTCTGCCATTCCTTCCCGTAAGCAGCAGATTGTTGTATGTTAATGTTTCTATTGTTTTAATATTCTTGTTTTCCTCATTCATATTCTGAGGTATTATTGTTAGTGCCAACCCATTTGATTTATTATTTAGAGAAAGCACTTGTTCAAAAAGTCAGCACTGGATATTAAATGGTGATTGCTTGCAATGAATTTCTTTTTAACATCTGCAAAGACAATTTTGTCTTTTCTTCTTCCACTTAACTGTAAATGAGAGATCTTAAGCATAGTTAAATAGGATTCATAATATCTCGCTGACTGAAAATCATCTTGAAATGTGGAATGTGAGGGCAGAAATAGTTATCACATACAAAACCCTCTTCCCTCTGAATTTCTAAGGGAGTGCAGGGGAGGACGCTGTCCCTGGGTGTGCATTAGTATTCCTGGTTGTGTGCGTGGTAAAGAGACCACTGCGGGGCCAGAGCCACAGGGCTGCTGCAGGTACAGATCTGACTGTTCTCTTCCTCTCCCTTTCCCCACATTTTAAGCCATTGACATTAGTACTACGTATGCATGTATGTGTGTGTATATATATATATATAGACTAATGCAAGCATTTTTTTTTTTTTTGTATATTTAACTATGACACCCAAAAATACCCCTCAAAGCCCATTCAATTTGAGAGAGATTTTCCTTGAATAACCATCATATCAGCTTCATGTTGACTTAAAATATTTTGTCATTGTTGTTTTTTGGCCAGAAAAATTGCATCTCAGTGACTGTGTCATTAGTATCAGTGTCATGGTAAAGAAATAGCATAATACCTCCATGTTAATTACCATTTTTACACAGCTATCTTAAAACCTTGTGCAAGTAGGGCTGCTCAAGGATCCTTAACTCTATCCTTAAAAAGCAAACATGGAAGGAGCTGTAAATTAAAGTACAACTCAGTCGCTCATTTTCCCTAGCCAGGTTACCAAGATAGACCAAAGAGCAAAAAGAGGATTCAATCACAGATTTAATTAAAGATAATCATCAGAAAGACTGGCAAGACAAACACATCTGTTATTTCATACATTTCCTAACATGAACTGTATGAAGGGACTGAGCTTTTTAGTTTTACTTTAATGATTTTTTTCTGTAATACAGTGATACCATGAGTTGCATCTAAGTATGTGAATGTTTAAAATAGTTGGCTTCCTTAAAAAGTACAGCCATAGTGAAACACTGGAACAGAAGATAGTTCCTGGTATAGAATGTGATATGTTTCTAAATATATTATTATTTATAATGAAGCTAATGGTGACAGAATTATGTTTGAATTTGTAGTGCATCCTAACAACAGTGATGTGAGCTGCAGTGTGGGCACTGCTCTCATAAACATTTTGCCTCCTTTCCCCAGTAGATTGTGGCAAACAGTGGCGGTGACTCTGGCTGCAGAAAACACAGTGACCATGATCCTCCTCTCAGCCTTGCAGGCTGCATACCTCTGCTGGATCTCATGCATCTGTTGAAAGGAGAAACACCGTGACACAGACTGATGTCATACAGACTGATGGGATGCTTGGTAATTGCAACAGAATCACCGAATACCCCAGTAATAGGTTTTTTAACTTTTTAGCTTTTTTTTTTTTTTTCCCTCCTTTTATTCATAAAGTCTGCCTGTTATATCACTTGTAAGCATGTGACCTAAAGTTCTCTGCAGCGTTCATTAGATGTGGTTTTCATACTAAGAATAGAATTCAGCTGTGGCTGTGTATTTGTGACCCATTTGGGCACTGTTAATTGGCCCAAAGTAGGCAGCACTGGAGTGGTAGTGGTGGAGGGAAAGCACAGCCAGCTGCACCTGCCACCTAATTATTTTCCATAGGGAGAACTGGAGGCTGAAGCAAAACATGAGGACCTGTGTGGCTGCACAATGACCTTGGATCAAGAGTGACACCCCAGGTGACACCCCAACCACCTGCATGGAGGACAAGAGAAACCGTGATGAGGATTGACCCAACAGAGTGTAGTGGCTCCCCTGGATCTTACAGAGGCCTATTGAGATCTATAGATCTGTATTCAAGGACTCCTGAATAGATCTCATGACTGGCCTGACAAACCACGGCTGCTACAAAGGAGACACTGCCAGATGCTGTAAATCTGTTGCAGACCTCATGTAGCTGAGCGTCGCCTTGCAGGCTGCCCCATGTGCAGCGCCACACCCAGGAGCTGAAAGGTTGGTGTTCATGCTTGGATTTGTTGTTTCCTTAGCTCAATTTGTGATGGTTCTCAGGTCTAAAACCGCTTTGATGTGGTCATACAATAGCAAACAAATTAATTGGGTGGAGAAAAGCGGAAAAGGCGCCCAAAACCAGTAAGCTCTTTGTGTCCCCTAATGTAGTATTTCTGTACAAATTACTGTGGGTTTTTTTTTTTTTTTCCTTTCCTGTTTTACCCTTTTTTTTTTTTTTTTTTCCCTGAAGTGCTCCTGAGTAGTGTCTTTGCATGTAAAATTTCAGCCTACAGCAAGTTGTTGCTGCGGATGAATTACAAACTGCTTAAAGACAGGGCTGTAAGGGAAATTCTGACACAAGCTTCAGTACAGCAGCACAAACTTGTTTCCCAGACACCAAAATAAACCAATATTTTCCTTTTGAAATAGTTCTATTAAGTCATCCCCAGCTTTCAAATCCTCCTCCATTTCTTTCCTGATTCCTGTTCTGAGTTATCTCTGTTGTTTTGAAAAGGAGAGTCTCCAGCCTAAGCCTGTGCTCCCAAGTCCTGCTGTTTGTTGCCTAAGGAGCACACAAAGGTTTAGATTGCATCTTTTCAATGCATTATGGCACCGCAGCCTAAAGCCAATACTTGTTTTTTAACTGGCAACCTGCCTGTACGAATGGAGGAAGCAGATTGCCTCTTTGCTGAACACTTAGACAAGGTACTGATTTAACAACAGTGGACAAGCAGCTGGGAGCTGGGCTGTCAGCCTGTCACACACTGACAAATCTGTTGTTCATATTCAGGCAGGATGTTCCAGTTAGATTGCCATCAGTATCATCCATCTACCACAGGCATGCGAGGCGTACCCGCATCGCCTGCATACCCATGGACGAAATGCTGTTGATACAGCTTTCCGAGGAAATCTTAAGAAAACAGCTAATGTGCAGCTTTTTTTTTTCCTTGTGGTCTTCTGCAATGAGATCAGCAAGAAACCAGATTTAATTTTTGTCTCTTCCTTTGTTTTCCATTCTGTATGCTGGAATTATGCGTGCAAATTGGTGGTTACTCCAATTTCATGTCTCGAGCATGAAAAGAAACCTCTGAGTGGAGCCTTACCACTTTCTGTCAAGCTAGATTTTTTCAAAATTGGACTTAATAAAATACAAACTAAAACAAATTATAAAAGAAAAAAAAAAAAAAAGCAGATTAATAAACGCACATGGAAATTATGTTGTTCTGGCTTCCAGACTGATTTTCAACATATTTTCATATAACCGTTGTGTTTGTAACACTGAAATAGTGCACTCCTGAATTATTTCATGTGCACAGAGCTCAGTCTGTGAGGGAACGCTCAGATGAAACCTGTCTGCCCGCGTTCATGTTCATCAGCTGCCATCAGTCTGCGCTGGGCTGTGCAGGAGCGGGTGCAGGGAGGGTGCATGTGTCAAAGCTGTAGAACACATGCTGTAAATATTTTAACACAACCACACTCTTACCTATTCCTTTCATCTTCTGTTTTTTCTTTTTTATTTGAAAAAGCTGCTTTTGAATACTCTGACTGTACATTCAGCAGATTATAGTTTTAAATTATCTGTCCTTATGTCACAGTTATCCAATTTGCAGCCCTGTGTGCCCTTTATCTTTTCCTGTTTCAGCCTCAGACCTATAATCCCAAAGCCCACGAAATGAACTCCTAAATTTAGCTAGGGAAGAAAAAAAAAAAAGAAAAAGTCTATCTGTATAATTTCGTCTGAATTTACCATCTGATTTGCTGCTGCCTGTTCATCACCTCTGAGTGATAGAAATAACCTGCAGCTCTCTCAAGGAGGTGATGGAGGAAAGAGTCTGGTTAACTTTCTACTAATTCTCAGGGTGTTATATATCTTTTTACATTCACAGACAGACACCAGTGTAATTTAGAACAGTAATGACTCTGAAAAGTGGTAAGCTAGTCAGATTCTTAGTATTAATCTATATCCTTTCACATTTTAACCTAATACTGCAAAAATCATAATGCGACATACATTTATGTAGTGTATAATTTAATCAGCTAATATCTTCGAGTCCTCTCTGTAGCCTCTTCAATATAATACCATTTCTGGTCAAGAAAGCCACTTAACTTCACTATATTTTTCACAGTAAGGTTCAAGATCTTCTGGAAAACACCGAGTTCATGTAGGTTAGTTACATTTCCTGTCTAAAAGGAAAAGAAGAACCTTGCAATTTTAAGCTTTTTTTTTTTTTTTTTTTTTTTCCAGTAAACCCATGGAGTGCTGGAAACCATATAAACGATTGGTAACACATGCATAAAGAAGGCAGGCTGATGATCTATGGGATTTTCTTTGTTGAAGCAACCACAGCCCGAAGCCTGGTCTGTTGAAACAACCCTGCAGGTTTGTCAGTCTTCAAATGCAGGCTGTAGGCACAGCAGATAAGGGGATTTCTGTGTTCTTGTTAGAAATATAAATGAAGTCTTAGAGCATCAGACTGGTTCTGTGGTTGAATATGAATAGAAGTAAACACACTTTAAAGTATTTTATACCTGGTTGCATGTCAAGGCTAAGCTCCAACTTTTTGTACAGAATGGCAACAACATCAGTTCTCTATCATTATAAGATCTCTGTGCGTTCTGTTCTCTTCTCTGAAACCTCAGTCATTTTTGATTGACAGGAAGATTACCTAATAAACCTTCCCCACAAACTAATTAATCACTGTGAATACAACACTAAATTGGCAAGCATAAAAAAGCAAATGAGATGGGTGTTGAAGACCGTTTTCAAATGACCTTAGTTGAAAGCCAAGTACAGAGTGCTAAAAGCATCAGTAACGTAAGGCTGCTGGTAAACTTCTTCACTGGGGTAGGTGGCTTCACCCACTGTGAGGGTGGGCTGTGATGTCAGGACATGATCAGAAAGGAGCCCATCCAATTGATGGGACTGAGACACCACCTCTCCCAATAGAGCTTGGGAGGTGGACCTCCTTTATAGCTCTTCTGCCCTTTTTTTGCAGCTATTGATAGCAAATACTTCTCACAAATTGAGTATTGTTACAGTCATTATTATTGTAATGCAGAAATCCCAGTGTGCCCATAAGCTTTATTTCACAACCAGAGGGCTCCTCGGCACACGGCCTTGCGAGCGCCTCCTCCCCAGACACAGGTTTCATCAAGATAAAGTCATCACAGTGTGATATTCCTGACAAGTTTATCAAAGTCTGAGACTTAGGTCAACATGAGATCTTAGTTCTCCACTTTCTTCTTTCTTTTCTGATGATTAAATACCATGCATTGCCTTATTTATGGCTCAGGTATAGGGCACACTAGCATCACAGCAGGAAATGCAGTTGCCAACTCTTTCAACCAGGAGAAAGCTCTCCTGGGTTTGTTCTACTGGGGCTGCTCAGAGGGGCCAACACTAGGCTTTGCTTGGGCAGCAGAGCAGGACATGTGGCCTCTGCCATGTGGGGAGCAGAGCTTAGAAATTCAGAAGGAAATGAAAACAAAACCACGACAGTGAACAAAACCAGTGTGAAGGGTATGGCGTTTTTGGTGTGTTTTTTTTTTTTCAGCAGATGTAGAAATCAAGAGTTGTGTTTCTATCTGTAATTACTGACTGCTGAAGCCTGTTTTGGTATGCTTTCAGCTTAACACCAGCACCATGTTTCAGTAACGCATTACTTTATCCATTTATCCTGCGAGTGGAGCAACACAGGCTCTCTCCCCTGCAGTTCCCAAATGGGTATCCACAAACCATCTTAGGGGCTGGCTAACTTTTTGTTCCTGATCTTTTTCTTCTTTTACTTCTCCTGCACAAACCAATGGCAGTTGCTATCCTGTGCCTATGGGCAGATAGGAACAGTGAATAACTGGAATCCAGCTGGTGCGTCTGCTTTTCACTTAACGTTTGAATAGCACTTAAAATAATAATCTAAAATGTGCGGCCTTTGAACTGCCTTCCCCTCCGGCTTTGTGGGGCTGTACATGAGCTCAAAGGGAGCCAAGCACAATGGGCATTTACCGGGCAAGAAATCTTCAGTGGGGCTCAAAACAAACTCAGCCTGAGCCAGATGGCTGGTTTTCTCCATAGCATTTGCATCTTATTCCCTTCTCCATCCCACAGGTTCATGTGCACACTTGGTCCCATGGCACACTCCTCTGCACAAGCTACATCTCATCACCAACCACAGCCATTGCCCTGCACAACAAGGGATGGCAATGGCATGGCTGCTGCTCTCCAGCCGCTGCTCAGCCTCCCACAGCCCCCCCTTCTCTTCCCCTGCCAGCCCCTTCCCCTCCCCGCTTCCATCCTGACTGCTCAGAGGCAGCAGAGAGAGGGAGAAAGGAATTATTTATTGTATGCCTGTTGAAAATGAAAGGCTTTTACATTTTAATGAGCACTAAATAGGAGCGAGGAAATATTGTTCATTAGCTGTAATCTGTGGAATTGCTTGAGTGAACTTCCTTTGGAGGCCGCTTTAAACGGTTCACTCAAGTAAAGCAGTTTGTATGGTAATTAAGGGAGCATTTTTCTGTCAACATCTGTGCCGCTATTTATAACGCTGAAGGTATCTTATTACTCCACCAGAGAAACATTAAAGAGGATGGGCAGAGGGATGTTGTTTTTTTTTAAAATATATATATGTACGTATGTGTGTATATATATATATATATGCATATAACGTTTCTTTCTCTCTTCAAAACCTCTCCCTTTCTCTTGCTTCCTTTTTCCTTTCTTATTCTCTTCCCGCTACCCCTCAATTTGCCAAGAAAAACACCCTGTCCAGTGTTTTGTGATAGTAAGGATTATCATCCTGACATCTTTCCATTAATCATAGCCTTTGTTCAGCAGCCAGGCAAGGAGACTCAATCTGCTCAGCAAAAACAAGAGGCCCATGTCTTTGGAAACCACTCTCATCTCTCATCACTCCACAGTACTGGAGATGCCTTTTGGCTGCGTTATCATGGTGTCCCTAGAGGGATGGCATAACATGGCTGTGTCCTCAGTGCATCCCTCTGGGAAGCCTAGCCCAAGCTGCTGTTGCGCTGCAGGAGTGGCAAGCAGTTGCAGGGGGGAATAACCTTTCTCATGTTTGGTCTCATCACAATGAGGTTGATGCTTCAATTTTCTGCTGTAAGGCTGCTTGGGAGAAGAGTTTGGGTACTAAAAATGGACTTATTTTTCTGCGTACAAAAATAGAAAGATGTGTGTTTTCATTTGGTTGGTGGTTGGACTTGCTGACCTTAATGGTATTTTCCAACCTTTATGATTCTATGATAACACTGATCGTCTCAACCTTGAGCAGCCTGTACCATACCAGTGCAATACGGAGCCATCACCAGGTGTTGTTTTATTCTACTTATTCCATCTTTGTTTTTCCCTGTACTTACAACAATGAAGTTTGCATCCTAAATGCAGTTCTTCAGTTAGAATATGGCAAATGTTGTCCTGAAAACTGGTATTGCTAAGGTGGAGATGAATGTCACACAATGCTTCTGAGACCAGTTGGCCCACAGTGTTTCCTAAGTAGCTATGAGGCATCTCCTGTTCTAGTTGTGTTCAATTCCCCTTTCCCAACCCTAAAGATCTTTCTGCTTCCTTTCTCATTATCTGGAAGCTTTGTTTTTGCCTCTGCTGCTTTCTTTCTTCCTTTAGCCTTCTGATGTTAATTTCTTCCTCCCCACAGCTAGACCCAATCTGGGGATTTTGCATGGGTTTTTCCTGGGTGTTCTGCATACATACTGAGAAAGCTGTGGAGAAGAAAGAGGAACATTCATTCAGTGCTATGAAGGTTTTACTTGGTGCAATGGAAAGTATAAAAATAAATAAATAAATAAACCTTCCAATATACGTGGAAAAATGCAAGTAGAGCTAAAGCTTGCTAGAGTGCACCAAAAGCACTGCCCTATATAAATTAAAGATGCTTCGCCAGAGCCAATAACTTTTATAGATTTTTCTTTACCTGTAATGAAGGAAAAACATAAATGACTATCATAAAAAGTAAACATTAGAAATAGAAAATCCCTTTTACAGCATTCAGTCCATCTTTCTGCTAATAACAACTTGTTCCCTATAGTATATTTTTCCAGTGATTCCTCCAGTCTAGTGTTAAACATTTCTAGTGTTTCTAGGGCCTTGCTGCTCCCTTGAGAGGCAGTCTGAAAGCCTTGTGCATTTCAATGTCAGGAAGTTTTTCTCAGCAACTTCAATTTTCTCTGTCTATATTTCTTCCTGTTAGTGTTAGGATGTCTCTATAATTAGTTCTGTTCATTTGAATTTTTTTAGTGATGCTCTTTAGAAGGTATGTGCATTGCAATTCTGTATCACTGTTTCACAGCTACAAAGCAAGATTTCCAACTGCGCTTTTTTTCCCTAAATTGTTATTGAATTAATTTAATTCATAGGTAGCATTTCCTTATTGTTTGCATCCTATTTATAGCAAGAAAACTTATGGTATAACCAGGCTTAACACCACTGCTCTTTTATTTTGATGGGTAACCAAATTGCAAGACCCTGACATCTGCTATTTTTGATAAAGGGCCAATGCTGGTTTCAGAAACAGAAGTGCTTTCAAAGAGAAAAAATGCAGACAGAGATCAAATAATGGAAAGCAAAACTTCTATTAGCAAGTAATAGAACCCCAATACAAAAAGGGTGATATTTTTCAGAAGAAAACAAATGAGTAAAAGTGTCTAATAAATGAGAAATTTATCTTATAGAAGATAGAATCATTGGTTGGAAAAGACCACTAAGATCATCTAGTCCATCCAACCACCAACCCATCCCCACCATGCCCACTAATCATATCCCTCAGTGCCACATCTCCACAGTTCTTGAAACACCTTCAGGGTTGATGACTCCACCACCACCTCCCTGGGCAGCCTGTGCCAGTGCCTCACCACTCTTTCTAAGAATTTTCCTCCTAATATCTAACCTGAACCTCCCCTGGTGCAACTTAAAGCCATTCCTTCTCACCCTATTGATCTTATTACCTCTCACAAGGTGCATGGACAACTGTCTGATAGTATGAACACTGTCAGGAGCAAAGCAACACAGTGCATGTCTTTGCTGAATTGGAAGAAAGCAAAAAAAAAAAAAAAAAAAAAAAAAGTACTTATTAATCAGGAAGCTGCCAGAAGGCAGTGTTTGATTATTGTGTCCAACCTTCTATGTCTCACAGAATTTCAGATTTGCCATGGATCTCTTATGAATTTGGTTTGACTAAAGCAGAACTTCCTAGAGTTACCCAATTTTGATTTATTTAATTTCCTTTACTGTTTAAACTTTTCAAGTATCTTCAGCTAACCACAGTGCCTGAGGGCAACTCCAGAGGATATGTAAAGACCTCCACTTGGTTACTATTGGCTGTAATGTTAGAATTGTCTACCCTGGTGATATAGGACTAAAACAGAAGCTTGCCTAGTAATTGGTTAACTGTACCTTCTGCAAGGCACATTTTATTTATTTTCATTAAGTATTGAATTCAACCTAGTTGTTTAATACCTTTTATTTAAGAGGCTTTGCAGTGAAATAAAAGAAATACTACAGAAAAAGCAGGAGAGGAGGAAAATAACTCTTTACAGTAATTGCTCACTATCACTTCAATTTTATTAGTGGTGAAAACAAGAAACAACTTTTAAGCATGTCAGGTACTCCTACCTCTTACTTCTGTTAAGGTAAGTAAACTGTATTTTAAAAATATCTTCCTTCTTAAATTGTGACAAAATTGTTTCAGCACTATGAAGTATGGTCTCATATGGTGTCATATAAAAGGCAGCATCACAGACTGCTCTAGTTCTGCATCAACAGTGCATCATCTCCTTCCAGATAAAGTCTTACATGTGAGCTTACCTTTGGATATGAAGTTGAATGGAATTTAAGTTCATGGAGAATCTTTAATGCTTTGCTGAGTGAGAATGCATTTTAGTAGATCCTTAAGTACTTTTCTCAAGAGGTTTTACCATGCATAAGACTTCTTAAAAGGCCCTTCTGAGTTAAAAATACCTGAAGTTCTCTCTCTAATGAGGATGTATAGCATTCTACTCAAGGTAATCAAGACTTATGACATCACATATTTTAAAATTCTTATTGGGAAAGACAGAAAAGTCTTACAGTTGATCAAATAAGGGAACGTTCGGATGAAAGATAGAAACAGAGGAGGATTGCAGTACAGTAAAAGTGCATAAGCATCTCTTAGTGAACTTCTGCATTTATAATTTTATCTGTAACGTATTTAACTATAAGCTCTTTAAGGCGGGAATTCATCATGCTGAGTATATATGAGAAGCCTAATGTGGTTCAGGGTGTGTTTTAATATTTAACAGCAGATCATTTTCTGCACGTTATAGAGTTTATTGTCATGATATGTGTTGTTATTTATTACATATCTCAACAATACAGTAGACACAGAACAACAGGCAATTTGGGCAATTAATCATAGTATTTTCCAAAGATCTAAAACATTCTGTGTTTTTGGAAGGTATTTCTGAGGCTTTCCAGGTAGTGCACCATTAACACATGACGGGGCATGTTTCAGAGGTTCATTAACACATGTTGTAGATGTGCAGCCTCATGCATTCAGCCACCTGAGGCATGCATTAATGGACCATTAAAACATGCCCAGGAGTGTCTTAATGCTATTACAGTATGGCTCTGCAATTTTTAATTCAGCTTTTTTATAAAACGATTCTTTTCAAAAATACAATTTTTACTATATTGCAAAACCTCTACTCAGAAAAGAAAGGGGTATTATGACCTAAGATTAAGAAGGCACCTGGACATGGATATAAATACCTTTTTTTCTACCATTTTAATACATTTGATTTTGATTTTATATTGTTTTATAAATAGCATAGTCCTAAGGCCTGATTCACGTTTTTGCTGACCTATCTTCCCACTACTCAGGAAATGTAAAAGAGTCTTAAAGTGCCATAAATGTAAATTGCACCCCCAGACTACTTAGCTTAGTTGCTAATTTCAGTAGACATTTCTAGGTTTCTAGGTGAGTAACTCTTGAACAGCTTTGGATTTCTGTGGAGAAAAAAACAAAACTGGAAACCCAAGCAGTTTGACAAATAAGTTTTGCTGTAGAAGGCTAAAACTAGGAAAGGGAAAAGGGGTTATACCACAGGTGGACAAGCTGCTCACACCTTCAGTAACGTGCTGTTACAGATCAAAGTTTCACATTCAGTTACACATCTCAACCTTGGCTGAATTCATTCTAAAATAATCAACTATCCATTATTATTCGTATTTTATGATTTCTGTACGCCAGTAATACAAATAATGTTATCTTTATTATAATCCAGTGAACTGCTGTCCTTGTTTTCATAATAATTCCCTCATGAGCACAAAGTGCAGACTGTGGAGCAAACCACTTCCCCCCATGTCAGCCTCCACTTCATTTAAAAGTTGGGAGCAGCATAAAGAGCTTGGAAGTGCTTGAACCAGCTGAAGAAAATTTCTTTAATGATAGTGCCCTGAAAGAAGGCCATAGGCCACACTTCAAAAAATTCACCATCTGACCCAAAACAAAATATTATTCCAGGTCAATTTTAACATTGCTTTTAGATTTTGCTTTTATGTATGTGTTTATTACTGCTGGCCATCTCATTTAATGTGTGACAGCCAGCAGTCATGTTGAAATGATGTATTGCAACACATTGCTCAAAAAAGATTGTAATTATATATCAGAGCATTTTTTTTTTCCATGTTTCTTTCAAAAAAAGCTATTTAAGAAAATTCTTTTCCTCTTTCTAAATTAGCTTTTTGACAGAAAAAGTTGCTGTGAAACTCCATATTTGGAGTAGTGTAGCTTAGAGCCGTGTATTCATCATCATTATCATAATAATAGCATTACACCATTATTTTACATACTCTTCCTCCTCTAACATATATAAGTACAGTGCACTGTAATTTGTAAATACTGTGCTTTCAATCAGCAGTGCTTGAGCAGGAGCTTCAGAATAAGGTTGGGTCTAACCAAAGCATCATCACAGGCTATACTATGCTCATCGACCATGGGTCCTCCATGTTCACCAGGGCACAGGCAGAATGTGGGATGATATGTGGCTGAATCATTGGTGGGAAATTGCAAGGATCTGGGAAGCTCTTCTGAGAGCTGTGTTGTTTGTCAGTCCTGGAGCTGGAAGATCTGAGCAAGAGCCTTAGTTTGATGATCCTCAACTTTATCGCAAGTGGTGAGATCTGAGGGCTTCTCTTCTGTGTTGTCCTTCCCCATGCCAATTTCAAGTGTGAGGAGTTCTTAAACAAGCTTTTTTGAAAGAAAGAAGAAGGGTGGTACTTGTTTTCATTCATAAGCAGAGCAAGGGGATGTAACTGGATGTAGTGCAAAACTTCTGTCAGCAAATAAAAGGAAAAGGCCGTTGGAGTCAGTGCATATGTGCTGCTCAGTGAATATGGCAGCATTGGTGGCTGTCACCTTCAGGTTGAGTTTGTAGTAATTATGTTTTCCAGTCATATGGAAATCCCTCAAAATTACACATGTGCAGAAACTTCTCATGTTGTATATTTTCACAGGGAATTCTATATACATATGATCTGCAAAGAACTTGTATTAATTTAAAACTATTTGAAGACAATGTTTGCTTGGAGCAGGAATTAGAGTCAGTACTAGTTAAGCACATACAACTAGGAACTGTGGGATATAGAGTTTAAGCCCGTAGCTGCCAGAATTAAATCTAATTCATCGTTAAACACTTCATCTTCCTCTACAGCATAGGTAAAAGGTCATACACTCCAAAAATATGATCCAGAAAGGGATAATGTGGAGAGGGAAATCCAGATCTAATAGGTAAGCAAAGATCCAGCTCTGAATTTACAATGCATTTGCTTCAGGGCTTTTCCAGGTTGTGAAGAAAGAAAGGAGATGTAATGCTGGAACTGATTATGTGCAGAAAACGGAACTATGAGAAGGAATCAAAAACAGAGATGAATGAGACAAAAAAGGGGACAGTAGGGGAAGAGGCTCCAAGTTTGGGGCGGAGTTGGAGAAGTATGGCTCCATTACTGCATGCTCTGCCCAAAATTTTTATCTTTTTGTTTCTTACTTTGCATTTGTTACATAATATAATCATTAACTTGTATTTTTATCTCTTTTTTTGGTGGGTTTTTTTTTTTTTTTTGGCATATATGTTTTTATTTTTACCTCATGCATTACTTAAAGGAGGAAAATGATCGAAGGTTGAATGGCTCATTGGATCTCAGGAGTCTGCTGCTCCTGGGACTGTAGGCTCTTAAGAAATTGGCAGCTGTGCATAAAATAAATGAGAATATTATGTGTGCATTGATCATTAAAATAGCTAAGAGATTTAACAAATAGTTGTGTAGTTAGTAGGAAAAAATAAACAAAAGCAAGAAGATCCAAAGTGCTCTGTACAACTGTGTACTGTTTTTAGTGTCATGACAAGTGATGAAGGTATGACATTCATCAACAATTGACAAAATGCTGTCAGGAAAATCAGTTTTTTACCAACAAGATGCATAACTCCTCTGAGAGGGTTCCAGAACTTGTTACACTTCACTTTTGAGAGCGAAGCAAATATTTCGATAATGTATTTTTGACAAAAGAAGACATAGTATTGATCAATACTATACTTTGCATATGAAAGCAGTTTATGAATAGCAGAATTCAGATTTCTGCCCACAGCTGGCATTAAAGATCAATAATCATCATGTGAGCTCTAGGTTTAACTAAAGCAAATTTTCCGCTAAAATGGCTTGGTTTCATGTTCTGTTTTAAAAATACGTCAGGATTAATTAGTTAGTGTTAGTATTTTTCAAAAATTCCGTGGTTTTTATACATTTCCAGAAAGAGATGGAAATTTCCAGATTTCCAAATGGTTGCACTGGAACATTCTTTCCAACCAGTTTTGTATCAGCTTCTATAACAAGTTGAGAAGTCTGGGGAGGGGCAGCATTCGAGCTCTGATTCAAAAAAGTCATGTTGAAAAGTTTGTAAAACAGTGCCTCATCATGTGCTTTGATTTTTATATTTTAGTGTGTTATGATAATGGTACATAAAATAGCTTTCAACTTTTGCTTTTACAGGCTTTGTAATTCCCTCTTCTGGGGAGAACTGTGTCACTGATACAACTTGGACTCTCTTCTGGCAAGTAGTAATAGTAGCTGATGTTAAACTTTCAGTAATCACTGGCTTTGCTGATGTGTCAGGTGAGTTTTACTGTTCTCGGTTCCCTCTACTGCAATTCTCAATCTTCTCACCTTCTTTTTTACCCGTTTGTACAGAAATCAGATATGAGTGTGACAGAATGAAAAGTAAGCTATCCATACCTCAAACAAGATCGTCCTGCATTTCATTGCAAAGTTTCAAAAGAAATTATTTAATGTTACTTCAGATAGCATCGTAGAATCATTAAGATTGGAAAACAACTCCAAGATCATCCAGCCCAACCATCCACTTACCACCAGTATTTCCCCACTAAACTGTGTCCCTCAGTAAAACATCTGTGTTTCTCAAACACCTCCAGGGATGGTGACTCAATCACAGTAGCATCATACTGTCTAATATTGTTTCAGTACTTACAAAGAATTTATGAGCTTACTCATTTGCTGAAAGGAAATATTAGCACATTTTAAACAATGACAATAACAAAAATAATCTCTCTTGAAAACGTGTTTATGGAAGAGATTTGTGGGAGGATAAAATCTGATTGGAAAATATTTAATGAATTGTCTTGAGCAGTGGAACAAATTTTGTTACTGAACAGTATTAAAAACCTGGAAGGCATTCCTAGGAAATTCCTTTTCTGGCCTTAGCCTACAGTACAGGGTGCCACATTATGGACACCATCACTTAAACAGCAAATAATAACATAGGCTAGATGGGTTATGAGAAGAGGAAATCAGTGTATAGACATAGAAATGCTGACTGCCATCTGGCACAGATGTCATTTACTGCTGCTCATGAGTCAGGAACCAGTTAAATTTAAGATACTTAGCAGTCTGCTTACCCTTGTGCAAGGCTAAGTAATACACTGATTATTCTTTGAAGTTCCAAACTACACGGTTCATTATTTTTTGAACAGAAAGTCTTGATAATTTTTTTGAAATTACTATAGTTTTTAGATTTATGTTGGTACTCTAAATAAAAAACTGTCACACTCAAAGTGACATAAATATGTAATAAGAAGTAATTTTTCCATTCCAGAAGATTGTATTTTGCATTAAGTTTTTGAGAGAAAGCCACAAGTTAGCAAGCTGACAGAATTCCTGCTAAATGTGGCTTTTTCTTTCAATGGAGAGAAAGTGGAAGTTTTCATCTTAGTTTATTTTGAAAAATGCTTACACATTCCTCTTTATTTCCCTAAGTAATTTTGTTATTTTGCTAGAATATCTGTGCATAAATCTTCATATAGCATTACACAGCCATACATATATTATAATATGTTTTACATTAGCTAGCACTGAAAAAATCTGTAGAATTGAAGATGTTTTCTGTGTTTTTAGCTTTTGGAATAGTATTTGTATAACAAGAGCACTCAGTGGTTAAGTTAAATGTGCTCTGTCCAACATTTTCATAGAGAAGCAAAACTGAACACATGAACTCCTTATGTGCTGCAAATGGATATATTGAGGTATCTTCACTGATAATTGCCGCAAGCAGCAGACTGTTCCTTTTGCTTATACGTAAGGTCATTTGAATTTAAACCATGGAAAGTATCCTAAATGGGTGATGGAAGCTATTATTTTTATTGCAGTTTGATTAATTTCCAACTTCAACCTCTTGGATTCTTAAAATATCATGTTCTAATTGTATTATTTTTAGGCCAAAAAAAAAACCTACGTTGTTTTGAGAAATTTGTTTTGGCGATGCAGACCAACAAACAAAGTGATGATATTTTCTTCTAGAAGGAAAATGAATTGGTGTTTAAACATAAATTCTGGCTGGTAAGTGAGATGATGGGGGAAAAGCGGGGTGGATAAAAGGCAGGGAAATGGGATGGGAGTAAAAGCAAAAGTAGCAACTGTGCCAGTCCTAAAGCCTTTTTAAAACATGGTTGCTTCTGGAATTATACTGTTAGCATTAACTACTCTACTAAATGTAATTTCAGAGCAGCTTGGCTATGCTGGGACCAATAATGTTTCAGCAGATGTTAACAGTGAGGGAATTTAAAGATTACAGAGTTTCATGGGTGTAGTAAAGCTGCAGTGGGAACAGAAATATTACCGTAGCTGTTATGTTCTGAGTGCACCACATTTACTGACAAGTAATACATGAGTGATAGTGAGGACCAAGGGAACAGAACTTTATACTTACTGGTCAGCAGCCTATAAATTCCATAAATTAAACAAAGTTTTATGTATTTTTCATTTCTCTTCAGAATGATCATCTCTAAGGGCCCCTGTTTCACGTTAATTCCACTGGCAAAGCATAGGTCTGTCTTTCAGCATTACTTCAGGAGGGTATTTCCCCACTTGTGTGTTTCCTTTTCTTTCCTCCCAGTGTCCTCCAGATGTAAGGCTTTCACAAGCAGCGCTTTCTCCCCAGTGATCCTTTATGGATCAAGCCACGGCCATCAACTGCCCAGCAGGAAATATCACGTACTGAAGGAGCAAAACCCTACACTGAAAGTCTTTTTCCTCAGAACGGTGCCATCCATTTTGTGCACCACTTCTGCCCTCAGTCTCAAGGCAAGGAAGTAATCATCATGACTTATTCAGCCCACTAGAGATCTAAGAATTCATGGAGAAGTTAATGTTTTAATTGACCTTCCTAAAACATGAAAACTGCAAACCTGAGACAAGCAAGGCAAGCTAGAAGGATAGGTCTGCTGCCCCATGTAAAAACTAACAATGCAGTGTTAGCAGTGAATGCAGCGTGGGGGATTAATAAATGTAGTATGGCTGTCAGAGGTGAGGTGTGTGTCCACTGGTGGATCCAGCTATGGAGACAGGGCATGTACTGCAGACACCAATTCTGGCTTATGGAAAGCATCAGCTGCTATATCTGGGCTCAATTAAGTATGGATAACATATTCAGATGAATTAATGTAAAATTTTATGTTTAGCTTATATTTATCTGGTATTCAGATATTCATGACCATCCCGGTCAGCAACAAAATGATTTAAAGAAACCGGAATGAAGAAGGGAAACAAAATTTATGCTATTTTCTAACCAAGAATGAAATAATTACAAGTTAGAACAAAGGTATCCCATATGTTCACAAAAGGAGAGCAGGAGAAAGTTATTACTGCATTCACATTTTGAAGGCACGCTCTTACAGACCATATAGAGCCTACTGAATTATTTTCTAATTTCAATCTGGTAATGAAGTAAAAAAAAAAAAAAAAACAGATGAACTTCTGTCAACTTTCTCCATCGCAAAGTTCAGTACAAGAGGTCACCGATGTAAGAGCTCCCTTCCTGTGATGGTGATTGTGCAAAGCCCACTAACCAGTGCTGGTTCTACTCCAGTAGGGTAAAATGTGCTTATGGAAGAAAACAATATAGTACCACTATGATGCTTGTTAGGAACAAAGACACCCCTCCCACCCAGCATATAGCAGTCTACATAGTGAAAGCCTTTTTATTTTGATGGCAGTCTTTCACTGTCTATCATAAACTTAGTGAAGCAGCTTTCTCTATCCAGCTCTCCTTTTATTGGGCACAAATCACTCCTGACAGGAAGTTTTATGCCTAAATCCGTTTACTGTCCTTGTTGGTAGTCTTTAAATTAATATTTATAAGCTGAGAGAGGACCAAAAGGATGCAGCAGTAAAATATCTAAATGCTTCAGTTTGGCTTGAACTGAATTTTCTCCTCTCAACCACTGACATTGCTTAATTACTAGTGACCCAGGCGTGTATTGTCTCTGCTGCTCCAAGCCTACAGATCACTGCCTCTGATAGTATTGTGACTGACAAGTGGGGAAGTTCAAATGGTTTATATGATGTATTGGATGAACAGGTGTGGGTACAGGGAGTAGAGAGTGAAAAAGAAATATGTCCAGAAAAGCACCTTAAGAGAAGTAACTTAAAGCTGAAACATCTGATTTGACTATGAGAAAAAAAAGAATGATATTTGAGTTGGCAAAAAAACTAAATGTAGTTGCTCTAATTTTAAACACATTGGGAAACAAACCAGAGGGCATACTGAGCTCAGAAAACTCAGATAGGCATATTCAAATCTTGAATGGATGATACATACACACACCCTCAGCAAAATGACCATTTTCATTAAATCAGTAGGAAGGACAGTTCCTTTGCATAACAAAAACTGTTGGGTGAGCTGAAATTAGAACAAAGCTGATTAAAAGTAAAATCCTGTTGCATTCAATTGCTTCCTCCTTTTTGTTACTGTTTTAATTTTCTTTTTCTTGATGTCTCACTTCTGTCAAAGTTTGTTGAAGGATGTGCAACAGAAGAAAAGCAAGTGTAATACAAACCTAATCAGCTGTCACCACCTTAGCATTCAGGCGCATAAAAATAATGAGGCTGATTAGACTGGAAAGAAGTACAGATAACAAATGGTGGAGTCCTCTTAAAATGTTGTTAGAGGGAAAAAAAAGTGTTAAAGAGAAAAGGAACAGAAGACTCTAACCTGCAAGTTGTGTATGTGCACCCCGACCCTGACACAAGTTAAATTTTAGCACATCTGTTGTTTTATGGTTATGTGAGAGTATCCCTAAAGAAAACGTAGTAGATAGCCACCCATAGAAGATGCAATATGTCTACATCACTGTTGTCTGTACGTAATGTGAAATCTTTTACATAAGGAGTGAAAGAAACTTTTATGTTCTCCAGGTAACAGAGAAACAGCACAAGAGGTTGTAATGCAAACAATTAAAGATCTTTCTAATCTATAATTCATGTCTCAGCATCTGCTGGATCTGACCATAAGGAACACCTAAAAGGTGAGTTCTGAACATCCATTTCATTTTGAGAATGAAGCCTGTCCAACCCTAATTTATTTGTTCTGCAAATACTTATTTAGGGACATAAATAACATTTTTGTTTTGCTTATTTGCAGATTTGATTTATTATGCTTGACCAAAGTTTCTTTTACATTCCTGGATGCTGTCTTTTGTTAACAGTCTACTGATACATCCTTATTGCTTCCCTTCCTGGGAGAGCTGTACTTCATGTATGCTACATTCACACACAACAACGGGGCGCATTTGATATGTGGGAAGAAGACTGGGAAATAAACCATTAATTCTTTAGTGCCTCGAAACTGCTGTTCTTTTGTGCTCAAAAGCCTAAGCTGCCTCAGGTAGTCTTCAAACTCCTTTTTAAATAGGGTTCCTGCCAGCTGAGATAGCAAATGACTATAACAAGCCTACTCTCACAATTATAAAACGGGCACAATTATGTGTTCTATTAGAATGACTCAGACTTCCCCTAAATCCTATTCTTCCTGAGCAAGATAAAATTATAAGACTTGTAGAATAAGCCGATCATCTGCTGAGGGCAACTAATTCCCTTATAAGTCTCTCTGCTCTTGGGTAATCAAGCATCCAAAGAGATTCATTCTGCAGCTTAAAAGGAGATAGTATTTTGACACCTGAGCCAAGTATCCCAAATCTCTAGACGCAAAGTAACATGTGAAATTCTAAGAAGGACATGACATGGTAGGATGTGTGGTATTACAAAGCAAGATGTAAAAGGCAGGATGATGCAGGGCAGTGGAGGTAAGAATGTGTGCTCAATCAGCCAATTAACTATTAGCTCACTATGTCTCAGCGCTCCCTCCTCATCCTTTTCATGAGGGCACAACTTAGCAGTAGGTAAAGATGAAAAAAAGCAAAGTGTAACTGTATTTTTCATTACCTGTTTTTCTCAAGTTTTGCTTTTGGCTCTTTCAAATGCATTAAGCATGCCACAAGTACAGGGGTGTCTTTTCTGTAAGTCAGTGGGAATGTCTTCGTTCAAATGCATTTGTAGTCAGGGTTGCATTTTGTTCTCAGGCCTTAGAAAAATTGCAGCTTTCAGCCTCTTTCTGCTTAAGTATTGTTGCCTAAAGCAGACATTGGGACTGTCTAAGTCAGAACAAGACACTGACTTACTCTGTGGGGTTTTTTTTACTTCTTTATGATTATTTAGGTGCCTGGTTTTGTTAATGGTTTTTCTTAACGAAAAAAAGCAAAAATTGAAGACTAAAGCAGTTCATAAAGATTTGGAGAAAGATTGTCTAAATGCCTTTATTTTATTCTAGCTCTTCAGCAATTATGATAATACTTTTTGTGTACTGTTTCAGTTTTTCCATCAGCAGGATGAAAGGTGCTATGTTTCTCTATAGCATCCTCAGAAAAGCTGACCTACTAGCCATGAGATGAGGTAGCACTTGATGATGCAACCTCCTTTTTCTGAACCTTTTCTGCTATCAGAAGAGGACTGTGGAACTTTTCCACACAAACATCACTGGAAAACTCTTCCCCTTTTGGTAGTGTTTTTCCTACAAGTTGGATGAAGAGTGCATGCGCACACAGTCAACCATTTGCTGAAGAAATATGTGCCCATGGCTGAGGGATGCTTGCTAAATGGACTGTCGTGCTTTCAAAATGCACTTTCCCTATTGCCCTGACCTGAAACAAAGCCCCATGGCAATAATTTTCCGTAGCTGAGAGACCTTTAAATTGAAATGTTGGGAAGTTGCCTTTCCATTGGCTCCAGCCCATTGTTCTCAATAGCCCACTTACTTTAACTTCCAGCTGTCCTAATAGAGGCAGAATAGTCAGCTCCCTGCTTCGTGCTGTGCTATCAAATGTCTCCCTGTCTCCTGGTGTGCAAGCTTTGCTCTTTTGGGGGAAAATCCTTTAGAAATCAGGTATTTGTGATACACATTTTCACACTAACATGCTGAACGTCTTAACTAGGATGTAAATTTTCTGTTAAGCTGTTTGGGCTAGGAAGGTAACCACTGTATCTTGGTTTTATACCAGGATTCCTGGATACTATCCTAGCATTGTGGGGAGCTCAGAAAAGGCTTGCTGCTCTTCTCTGCCTCTCTAGGTGGCTTGTTATCTTGCCGTGGTGCTTTTCATTTCCCACTGCTCTTCCTCTGCTTTTCTACCCTCTCTCAGGAGCTGGATAGAAACAACTTCTGGACTGAATGAAGTTCATTTCTCTCTCTCCTCCACTTGTCTTTCTTATCGTTTTCCTTCAGAGCCTTAGTGCCCCCTCCGTACCACCCACCATTTCCCTAGTGAATTTTTTGTGTAGAGAGAAGGGCAAGGGAACCAGGACAGAAGGCTCACTTATTCTTATGGCCAGAGACAAGACAATGTAGTATTTGTTACCACTGTTTTGTGTGCTTTGCCTGAAGTACATAGGATTTCCTCCAGGGCAGGGAGTTCTTCAGAGAGGAGATGGGATTTAGGAAGTCAGATGCCTTGAAGTCTGATCCTCCTTCTTTTCCCCATGAGTGACAAAGATTAAATCTTATGGTACTTCACATAGCTTCTGTACCAACACTGATGCTTTCTTCAGAGTCTGAAGGAATTACAGCCATCTGTGTCTGGCCAGAGTTATCAAGTGCTGGATAGTAAAAAAGTTAAAAATAAAAGGAAAAGGAATGATTCTTCAGGCACAAGGATTTGAATGTCCGCAGCCAACCCTTTCTCTAACCAAACTCCTCGGAGAGCTAAAACTGTAAGTAAGAAGCTTTAAGCTACTGCATGAGACTTCTGTGCTGCCACATCAACAGCTGTAAATCTGCTCTTGAGCTCTTCTTGCTTACCCTGTAGGGGAAGCAAAATTCTGCCTGGATGATGCAGTAGCATTTGGCAGCAGCACTCTGGCAAGCAGACTTCCAGATGTTTGATGAGAATGACAGCCTCTGAGTGGGAGTGCTTGAGTGTGTGCATGCATGGCACTCTTTAAAATTCAAGGCTAGCTTGCAGCATTATCAGAGAGTGAAAATGTCAAAAGAAGGCAGTGTTCATAGCAGGCATCGCATTTCAGGCCTTAGGAGAAAAAATCGAGGAAAGACAACACTGAAGCAGTTCAAAAAATGCAGAAAGGGGGAGCACAAGTAGACCAAACAAGTCTGGATGATGTAGAATTGACTGCTACCCCCAGCCCAAGCCCATGAATCAGTGCACAACTAGTCTCACTGGAGGTATTCCAGATCTCTGTGCCTCATCACATTTATTTTCTTCTGCACAGCCCCCCATCCACTTGCCCTACATTCAGAATAATGGACTCTATTGCCTGGCTGTTGCTGCTGACCTTGTCCTGACATCTTCCACAGATGTCCTGCACTGCTGTGCCATTCCTGCAGTCCTTACTCATGCTTCTGCGCTTTTTGCTGTCCACACAGCCCAGTTTTCCTTTGCATCTGAGGCTGTCTTCTTTCTATCCAGCACCTCCAAGTCAATGCTTCTTGCCTGCCATTGAACAGCAGATGGTTTTTGCTGTATCCTTTTCTCTAACCCTTTGCCTATATGCTCTACAAAATGTGCATATATATATGTTAACTTGATTTTTTTTTCTTTTCCCCATTATCTGAAATGTTTATTAGAGTTCTGTGATTTACTACAAATTTGAGTGGAAAAATATATTTTCCCCAAGTTTGAGAACTAATCAAGTTACGTTACTCATCTGTTGTCATTTCCATACTTTTTTATTTCCTTCTGATGAAAGCTTTCCATAAAAACCTTTTTTTGTGCATAGTTACATTAGATGAGATGATTTTGGATGTGTGAAAATACCTCTGTGCTCCAGTTTAGATGGTGCCCCCTTCTATTGAATTCCCACTTTCCAAAATACCTCATGCATTTCTCATTGTGCTGGAGATCTTTGTATTTTGATTGTAAGCTTTGCTGTCTCCACAGAACTTTTCACACACAAATTTATTAGTCCTTATTTCTTCCACTTAAACATAAGCCTCCTGTAATCTGACCTTGATGTCCCTTTACAAAGTGAAGACTCCTGGATTGGTTTTGTTTAAGAGAGGCTTGTTTTCTTTCTCAGCTGGATCCTGCAGTGTTGGGCAGGACATCAAAGGGTCATGGTGGCTGAGCACACTAACTGCACCTTCCTGCCCCTGTGAGCCATGCTGAAACACAGGTTTTGACAAAGTACTTGTACATTGTTCTGATAATCACAGCTCTCTTTGTAAAGTATCTATACAGCTCTGCTGAGGGTAAGGAAGCTTATTGCTCAGTCAACTGCTTTTATTCCAAAGCTGCTGTCGTCTTCCCTAAATAAACTGAAAGGACCAGTACTTTCCCTGGTGTAACATCACTGACCTCTCTGAAATTACACCGGGGATGAATTTGATCAGATTTGTCGTCAAATACATTTTGTACCAGCAGGAGCACAGATGAACAAGGCGAGCCATCCCGCAAGTCCAATCCAGGGCTCTTCAGTTGCCCTCACTGTTACCCCAGGCTCCTTCCTCACCTTAGGCAGAAGGGAATGATAAGGTCCAACTTGTCAGGACTTATTACTTATTCACGAAGCTATCACACCTTTGACACATCTGTCAGTTTTTATACAAAAAAACGAATGAGCAAGGATGCTGAAGTTTCCTTTCAGCACACTGGAGGGCAGTCCTTTTTACCACACCCTTAAGGCTTTCATGTCAGGGCTTAGTTGCAATGACAGAGCAGTGTGAGAGAGCTATCATTTTGTCTGGCCATACTGTGCTTTCCTCTGGACAGCTTATACTTGCCCCCTGGTATTTCAGAGAATTAAGCTTTCATCCTTTAAATAAATAAATAAATAAAATGCAGGGTGTACTGTTTATAAATATATAACACCAAACACCCAATTTGTGTTAGATTTATGGATTACATGAAGATATTCCCTTTTTTTTTTCCCCCAATGTTTCCTGACATAAATTCCGCACATTGCCTCATCATACTTTTGCAAAAGCAAACAGCAAAATATTTGCAAAGATACAAAAATCAAGAAGGGCAGTACACTGAATAGAGTAGTATATTTTCTGATGTTTATGGTCATATCTGTAATTTTAAATTTGATAAGTAGTATCACAAAATTCAGATTAATACTTAAACCACTGCGGATCTTAGAAAACGTCGTGTTCAATAGAGTATATGGCTAACAGTTACAAAGTGCAAAGGATATGCATAAGCATGGCTGGTTTATGAAAATTCTGCATGTATACAGAATGTATTTATTTCCACATTTGGGCTTTGGCTGCATTCAAAATTAAAAAAAAAAAAAAGGCTGCTTATTAATTTTACATGAGCTTTTTCGGCTATCTCATTTAAGGCTGAGTTCCAAGCAATTTGCTGCATCCTTTTTTAAACACAGCCATTATATAAACTGAACTTAAAACTGGTTCTAAATTTACACTGCTTCAGTAATTCAATTTTCACAGTTCTATTTTCTAAAAATCACGATAACTAGGAATGATGCTTTCTAATGCTTTAAGTCATTAATATCTCCAAGAATGGGAAGGGAAAGAATGAATGTAAGATGAAGTAATTCAGTGCCACCATATATACAACTGGTTTCAGCTTTTCTTCAAAATCTATAATGCATTCAAAACCTGAACTTAATAGACTAAGCTTCCGTGATATATTCCCATACTGGCAGTGAGCTTGTCAGCCCTTTGTGAACATGTTTAACTTATTTATATTGCAGTTCTCAAGAGTTCTGGAGACTTCTTTTTTAAAACAATAGATGCCTCAGGAGGACAAGATATTAACTAATAGTACTTTCCCTTTGCTTTAAAATGTTTTAAAAAGGAAATGCCTATAGATATTTTATAGTTTGGAGTCATGTTTTATAAAGATGTAGGCCTATTTGTTCAAGTAGTTTGCAAGGTTGGGTATATGCATGTGTGTATTTAAAATTAATCAGATTTTAATTTGGTGGTATCAGACAGAAGTGACAGAATAGAAATACTGTACTGAACTTTATTCTTTGTGGAAGGATGGATGAACAGATAGAGATAGAGGAGCATGATGAAGAAGAGACATCCAGCAAGAACCCTGCCTAACGACAGAAGCACAGAATGAGTTCATGCATTATTAACCATAAAGAATCCACACAGTATGTATATCTATATTTCTGAGAGTGTGAGAGATGGACCATATGTGTCCCACCCGTGGGAAAAGCCTCAACTGTAGTTCACAATTAATTATGAGACACAAAGCAGTAGGAAATACAGCATCATTAGTTCTGTTCTTGCAGAACTACTTATTTATGTTTTTATTTTCCTCCCACTGTGCTTCAGAACATAGATAATGTGACACTTGAATGTGCCTCAGGACTTCTTTATGGAGTTATTTTGCAACCACTTTTCAATCTGTGATAAAAAAGAATGAGCACATATGTTAAACAACATCAATCAAGTAGTTATTCTTTCTTGTACACATATTACTCTCCTAATCCATATAATCTCTTCAGTAGTAGTAGCAGTAATAATAATTTTAAAACCCATAGACTCAGTGGTGTGAGAGGATGTCAAGTTGTTCTGAATCTTAAAGGTGGCAAAAGTTGATTCAGAAATGATAAAGTGTCTGAGAGCTCAATCCAACATTTCTCAGTGTTTTTGTGTTTCTTTGTAAGACTACTTAAACACTATTCTCATCCTTGATAGCAATGAAACTCAACTGCTTTTCTGGCACTCAATGAGATGTGTGTAGATATGGAGGGGGAAAAGGGCAGTGACTGCAGTAGGAACATCATCGAATGAGCCTGAAATGTCATGTGAACAGCTTCTTTTCCCTGCTTTGTATTCTACCTTCGTTCTCAACTTATCAGGAAGAAGAATGAAGTACGCAGACAATAAAATGGCCACAAAATGATTAGATCATCAAAACTAGTGTCATATGTTCTGTGTCCTAATTACTGAAAGTTTGTTGATCCAGAAATGGTGCTTCATTTCCTTCCTCCAAGAATCCTATCTGTAGTTAAGTTTAATAATTTTCAGCTAAAGCTTTATTTTCTCCTGTGCTTTTGTTGCAGATTTTCTTCCTGCCCCATTGGTTCTCCCATTCTTTCACAATTCAGTTTATGTATTGTGATGGATTTTGTGCTCAGTATTGACTGAGAACCTGACCTGGCTCCTGTTGAAGACGGTGGCAGGACTCCCATTGACTTTGACGGCAGATGGATCTGAAGTGGAATATGAATGAGCAGATATGTTCTGTATGTTTAAGACATTTATTGACTCTCAGACTTCAGTTTTGCCCAAAGCAGAATGAAGTTAAATAATTGTGGGTTAATGATTTTTATTTTGACATGAGGATAGTGATGGGAGAGGTAAAAGAGAAGTGCTCCTCCTAATTATATTACTGATATAACAGGATATAGAAGTGTGCAATAGGCCCTGCTACAACAAAGTAGATAAGCACAGGCTTAAAATTAAGCATTTATTTAAGGGTTTTGCTGAATAAGGATGAGATCATTCACATACTTAAAGTTAAATGCATGCTTAAGTGCTTTGCTGAATCTGGGCCCAGATACATAAACCATTAAACAGTCACTTTAAGAAAACGGTGGAAAGCTGTTATACAAATTCTAGACCTTTTAAGTCATACCTCCTACATTTCCCACTCTCTCTCTTTCTTATTAGCTTAAGGAGAAGGTTTTTAAAGCTCCAGTTCACGAAAAATTATAATGTTCATTGCTACTCAATTGTAATTCAAATTGCTCCACACAGCCCCAAGCATGTGTTCAAACATATAATCAAGCAAACAGGAGACTTGAATCTTGCCAGTTGGAATACTGTCGGTCGCAGATGCCACTTTTTTTTTTTCTGTAAGCATAAATGAAGCTGGGGAGAAAGGTTGATATAAACTGGCTTTTGCTGTCCATTTTTGGTGCTCTGTTCCTGTGGCTTAGGTTATTTGGGTACATGTTGCTTTGTGTCTATGAGGGCTTTTTTTTTTTTTTTTTTTTTTTTTTCCCTCTCTCTCTCTCTACTGTGGTCAGAGGAATAGTACTCATCACCTGGAGTGAAGGCTGACAGGAATGAACATAGGCAGGAAGCAGCGTGACACACACATTGTCATGCATGACTGACCAGCAGCCATCAACAGCAATTAAACATTGAGAGCACTGGATCTTTTTGGACAGGTTCAAGTTTCCTGGCACTGTTGTGATTAGATGTTTTGCGCTGTTTCCCTGTAGTCAGTATGTGACACATTCCCTTTTGCTTGCTCTTTTCCGATATTTATTTTTGCACTGTCCTGGTGTTAGCATCCTCTTATAGCAAATGAATCACTTAGAAAGAGATCATTTTCAAGGAGATTTGCAAGGAAGGCTAAAGATTAAATGGATCTAAAAATTAGCGATTTTTTTTAAACAAGAAATGCCCCTTTCTGTTGAACGTTATAGTGTTTGAATGTTTTTTGAATAAGCATGGTTGTCTGTGAGTTTCAATGAGAGAAACATCTGTGAATGGCAGAAGCCACTGAAGAACAACAGAGGCCTTTAGTTTTACCCAAGTTGTTGTAATTTTATTTTAATTTGAGATGACAAAACAAAATGCCCTTAAAGGCAATGCTGAAGTGAAGAGCGGCTGCAGTTAGACTGAGCTGTCACTTGCTTGCCCTCATTTCAGGGCTGAGCTCCAAAGCATCCCCACTGCCCAGCATTTAACTGAGGCCCAGACTTCCCGGGCAAGGTCCATGGCTTGGCACAACATCCTGCACAGAGCAACTCTGCACCATAGCACCGGAGGTTGCAGCAAAAGGCCTTTTGGCACACAACTCGATCTCATGTCTAATTGAATAGTCACAGGGTGTGAGGCCAGAAAGTCCTATCAGAGCTCAGTTCTAACCCCATCACTTGTCAGTCTTTCCTTTCCCCCAGATCGAGTCCAGAATCTCATGTGTGATTATTAATTGCTTCTGTTAATTTGTGGCCTTCTAGACTCTACAAGGATGTAGAAAGTACACTAATAAACTGCTGGATTTCTATGTAGGAAACTTTCGTGCCTACATCCTTTCCATCTTTTACCTTGCATGTGCATGACATGGCCCCAAACATGGTTTCAACCAAAAGAAACAATTTCATCATTCTATGAGGAGTAACTTGAGAGGGCAGTGTAATTTTAAATCAGCTGTGCTCTGCTGTGCAACAACCAGTCCAGCCACAGGGGCCAGTGAATGCATTAGACTTTCTCCCGAACTGTTAATTCCCTCTTGCACAGTTAATGAGAGTTGCTCCAGTCTTGCATCTGTTTCACCTTTATGTTCTTGCAATAGCATTTAGAGGCCAGAGCAACCCGGGGGCCTAGATAGCACTGACTTTTGCTGATAAAATAACTCTTTAAGAGTTTTTTCAAACAGATAGATGGCTGAGATCATAGGGCAGAAATAAGAACTGCTATAAGAACTTTTCCTGAATTTGTAATTCTCAGAGGACATTCTAGGCTGTCCTGTTTGTTAAATAATTCTGCTATTTTGTGAAGCATAGTATTGATAACACTAAATAGTTCTCAAACGAACTATGTGAAGCAGAAAATGTAATTATTATTTCTGTAATGCAGATGCAGAAACAGGCACAAAAAAAAAAGATGAGTGACTTGCCTGAGGTCGTACATTAAATCAGAAATGTAAATATAACAAAATATCAGCCACATTTCCTTTCTGTGTGGTGTGGGTGTATGCAGGAAAAGATGGCTTGATTCTACCTTTTTGTAATTATTCAAAGACTTTCTATGTTTGTCCTAATATGCCATCATATGTACCTCTGCAGATATTAAAGAAGAGCATCAGATGATTTTGGGAAGAAAAAAAAGAAAAAAAAGTAATGCTTGAAAGTTTTCAGAGCAGATGAGAAATAAACAGACCAAGCATCTCAGCCTGGAATGTCATCTTCATCTGTGAATCAGAATTTGGACCTGCTGCTGATGAGTTGGAAAAGCAATTGTGGCATGAACAATGAGACTTTGGGTTGACAGCCTAGGGGAGCTATTCGACAGCTTCACAGACAGGCTTCCCAATGTAAATGAAGATGAGAAAGTGCATGAAAAATCGATCATGCACTAGAGACAACACTTACTTCATTAACTACCTTCAGCACTAACCTCTTGAACACTGTTAGTAAACCTATTATGTCACAGCTGAGATGCAGCTGAAGATTTTGCTTTGAGAATTTAAACAAAGCTATATAAGAACACAAACCAGATTAAAAAGTAGTACCATATAAGTCAACTGCTAGTTGCTGACATCAGTAAAATGTTGTCTGTTACTATCAGGAAACATGGGAACAATGATTAAAATTTCCTAATATTGCAGTAAAATTTTTAGCTGTTACCTGGAAAAAGAAAAAAAAAAAAAAAAAGAGAGAGAGTATTCTGCAGTGTGTGGAATGCATATATTTCTAATAAGTGCTGTCATGTGACAGGGATACTAACAAGAACTTCTTAGAGCTGAGGATCTGTTTTTGGAATTTGCTCAGGTAAGTAATGAAAATACATATATAGATATACAGTCATACAAGGGCATCTCCAAAAGTAATGCCTCCTATTTTAATATGTTGACCCACTATGTCAGAGGCAGATATTGGTGGTATAACAGTAGAGGTTGAACCTTCCCACCAGTATCCCATTACATGCTGTTGCTGTGTGACATATAGCAGCAGAAGGGCAGTCTGATGGAATGACATCTGACATGCAAGTGCATATGAAGCGAATGAGTGTCATGAGTTTCCTCCATGTGGAAATCACTGCACCCACTGACATTCATTGACACATGCTGTGATTGTCCATGGAGACTGAAAGTAAATGTGAACACAGTGAGGTGGTGAGTGGTGCATTTCAGCAGTAGCAACAGCAACAGTGGGTCATCTCTACTGATGTAGATTGTTATGAGCGTAGCATGCAGGCTCTTGTTCATTGTTGGTGAAAATGCATAGCTAATGGCAGTCACTGTATTAAAAAAAAACAGAGCTTTGTAGTTGAGACTTTGTCTATCAATAGTTTTGTTGTGCTTTTTGTATCTGCTGTTGTTTCCATAGAAATAAATAGAAGGCATTACTTTCAGAGTGACCTATTTAAATTTAATATGGGAACACTGAGTCTTTATGGCATTCAAATGGAGATAAGTGATCTAAATTCTTTTCATGAGGACCTGAAGCTTTATTGCTCATGAAGTTCTGATAGGAACAGACTGGGTTTTGGTATTTGTTCTGTTTCCTAAACACCTTTTTTCTTTATTCTGCATTCTGTTTTATGATGATAACTCTAAACAAGGTAATAGGAACCAGTCCTATTTAACATTTTTGTAGGTGACACGGACAGTGAGATTGAGTGCACCCTCAGAAAATTTGCTGATAACACCACTTCACTGTGGTCTGATGAGGCCCTGGCACAGGTGCCCAGAGGAGCTGTGGTGCCCCATTCCTGGGGGCACTCAAAGCCAGGTGGAATGGGGTCCTGGGCAGCCTCAGCTTGGGGGGAGGGACGACAGCTCTTTCCACAGTAGGGCTGTTGGAGCTCAATAATCTTTAAGGTTCCTTCCAACCTAAAGAATTACATGATTCTAGAAATAGTAAAGAAGCATGGTTATTGATTAGAAATGTCTTTGCAAAGCAGTATTTTAGTTGGATAGAAAGATATTTGCTAATTAAATTTTGGAAATAGAATTTCATATTCAGTTCTATCTAGACAATGTTTGCACTCTTAGAGCATGCTCTTGAATAGTAGGTTTTAAAAACTGTAATAGCAGTATAATTTTTCTACTTAAACAAAATTGCAAGCTCATATGAATTTGGCACAGGATATGTAAATCTAACAATATGATTCCTGTTGTTCACAAAGATAGGAAGCTTAAAGGAATGTTCCAGCAAATAGTACGTTACAATAACTGAGGCATTTTCTGATGTATTTGAAATTACAAAATCACATGTAATTTTGAATTTGTAATTTTGAGAAGAAAGGGGAAAGCATGCCCTATCTGACTCTGCATCAGCAGAGAGGATTTGGACAAACAGAGCATAAAGTTCTTAAGCAGCATGCTGGCTGGGTAGACCAGTAATGACTTGAGTCTAGTAGCAAATCCTCTGAGACCTTTAACAGCCTTAAATATTCAGGTTACACATTATGGAAGAGGCAGCACTTTTGTCTCTACAGTCTCCCACAGAACTGGGTGAAAGGAGGGCTAAATGGTTGCTGCTGTTGCTAGCAGGTATTTTCTTACCTATGGGTACAGGGAATCCTTGTTCATTGCTCACAGAACAGTATATATTCTTGGACTGCAGATAGGTCTGGATGAGCTTTCTGGTCCAGACAGTTCCAACTTGGAATATCTGTTTGAACATCAACAATAGGTTGATTTCTGATTTTTAATATCTGGAATGTGTGAATCTAAAAGATTTAATCAAAATGATATCAAACATGTTCCGTCTCTCATATCAAACCCTCTTTTGTTAAAAACAACCCACAGATGTTCTGTGTTCTGAAAAGTTGAGCAGTTATTGAGATATGAAAAAGAAATGATGCTCTGAACAATCTGAGCAAGAGATTCCCACAGCACCTCAAATGTGTTAGAAGATACCCAAGATTTATTCTTCCTTTTTCTCTTTGCTTCTTGCATGTGTGAGGTACAGTAATGGACCCAATCCAAAATTTATAAAAAGATTTATCTTTTTATGATCACTCACATCCAGTAGCTAAAAATCATCAACTGTCATAACTTTCAAAACTCAAGGTTCAGGTTGTACCTGCAAGGCAGCTGGATGCAAAGTGAGCCCATAGAGGAGGCAGGAAGACCAGTGCTCTGTTACGGATCATAGCATTGGACAGGGATTTACTGATGTCAGGAAAAGTATGTGATAAAAAGCACTGTATCCAGACAGATTCAAGTCCCACGAGTTCATCCTGTCCTTTGCAGCATTCTGTGAATAGGTGTTATAACGTGATGGCAGTACAATTTTCAGGGGAACCTTCCTGATGCCTTCTTCTCACTGTTATGATCACCCTGTAGCTTTGATTTTCTTGAATAAGAAAGAAAATCACAGTTAGAAGTTCTAGAAAACAAATACTTTATTCCCTTCCAGAATGTCAATTGCTAAATTTAAAGAATGCAAATAGGATTGAAGTATGCAAGAGGTAATTTCTTTGCAATTTTAATTCTGTCTTTATTTCACCCTGAAAATACTAAACCAGCTTGACAACATGCAACAAGGAATGCAGTACAGATAGGAAGAAAAAGAAAGCTACTAAGCAAGAGGAGATAAAACAGAAGTTGAACTTAAACAAGGGTTAGTGACCACCAAGTTAGCAGTGCTTCACCCATGTCTCCCACTTTCCAATACCCTCCACACATTCCTTGTTGCCAACAGCTACCACTTTTCTCATTCATTCTTCTGCTATTACTGGGTGTGTTAGAGCTTGCTACAAGCCTCAAGAACACAGATAAGATTATTCTCCTTCTCCCCTTGCACAATGCACATAACTGAGTGCAGCAGTGGAGTAGTGGAGATTGACTAAGATCTCTTTTAGCTCCAAGGCCCTTCTTTTCAGAGTGTGTACTGTTACTACCTAGTTTAATTAACATCTGTGCCAATCAGAGCAGCTGCCTATAACATAGAGAAGGTTAGCTGAGCATTCAAGAAGATAAATGAGGCAAGGGGTTGCCAGGGGGATGATGGTATGTCAGATGCACAGTGGCTGAAGCATAGATACGTATCCCCATTAACTATACTCCTCCTAAATCTGGGGGCAGAGTTAAGACTTTAAGACAGGGATGATGCTTCCTTTAAGTTTACATTTTTGGGCTTTTAAAAGTGTGAATACAGATGTATTAGATGTTCTAAATGGGTAAGCAAGCCCATCTGTTGATTTTAACCTTGTACAAATAGTGGCTAATAGAAATGATTAAACATTTGACAACTGAGAAAAATTCTAAGAATATGAATAGCGTTCCCTTCAAGATCTCTAGGAAAAGAAGTGCTATGAAAGTTCAAATGCAAAAATACCTCAACATTTGAGGATGTGGGATATCTCACAAATTGAGATTCTTTTTTCCAACCAGATGTATCGCATCTCATGGCCTTGAGAACAAGCTGGTGCTAAAATAAAGTGGAAGCACCTGATCAACATAACTTACCCCAGTTTAGTACACTTCTGAAACTTTTATAATTTTCAATTTTGGTTTTGGATTTTCTAATTAATTATTTATTTTTAGATTATTGGGAAAACAAGCTACTCTTTCCTCCTAATGACAGCATTACAAACTCTAATTGTTAGGCATTATTCTAGCTTTGTCACTGACATGAAACTGGTACTACAAATTGCAGATCTCATGCAACTTTACATTGCACTAGAACACACTCTTTGGGATTAGCATTTACCTACATACTAATTATTCTCTTTAAATGCCTTAGCTTGTTGATGTTTTATTTGCCCAAGTACATTACAATGGTTTTGTAGGGAAGAAAGCTTCTTTATCAAGATTTGAATAAGGAAAAGTTAGCAGCAGTCTTTAAAACGCTCCAAGAAATAGTTTACAATTCTGTAGTGGAAAACAGCTCCAACCCCCCCTCCCACACACACACTTTTTTTTTTTTTCGAGAAACCTGAAATGCTCAGAAAGCAAGTAATCTCAGGTTTACTTACTAAATTATTTGGTTTCTATTTTACTCCAATACAAATATCTCAAAAATAGTTCCTTTATAGTTCCTGCTGGTCAACATTAGGATAAAAGTATGATTCTGAAGTTTATTCTAAAGCGATGAGGGAACTTAACTCCTGTTTACACTTGTGCATCCATAGAAAGTTCCACTGGCAATAACATTAAAGTGTTTTTTTTTAATAAATCTATTTCTGACTTCCACTCAGCTTTTATTCAGAGCAGAAGGTGCTTGGTCTTGGAAGATGAAGCGCAGAGGGTGAGTCATGGTATTACAGTGTTTATCTCTACTATCGATTTTCAGTATAGTCACTTTGCTTCAGCAAAGGCTGAGCACCTCTGTAATTGGATGAGCAACCTAGGCCTCCGAAGAGAGAGGATGTACACTGAGGTGCTCACACAGAGATGGGCACAAAAAGACATTTGTTCTTTTACAGCAAACTTGCAGTTTGAGAAAGAGTGCTGCTTCTAAGAATGAAAGCTAGAGAGAGTGAGCCATTATGTCCCTCAACAAAATAAAAGGGATTAGCATACCTTCTCCATTCCCTTATCTTCTTCCCTGTGTGTTCTCATCTGAAAATGGAGCAAAGTCAGGAACCACCCCAGCTGCACAGGGCAATCTGAAGAACAGAGGAAACCTCTTCTCAGGTGAGTGTCTGAGGGGAGCTTTCTTTTGTACAATGAAAAGATTCAACATGAAAGTTCTAAAGTCCTTTACAATGTACAAAACAATTAATTTTGTCCTAGCTATTACTCTAGCAAGTATTAATTAGTTGGATATAGTGGATATTATCTTGGCTTCTCTGTAAAAGCTGGGCAAAGCAGAGTACCACAGACATTTATTTAGTACCTGAAGAATGC